AAATTTTTTTTGCATAATTCCAAACATTTGATCGTAATTGTGTTCTTTCATTTTCAACGAATGGAACATTTTGATTATCTTCTTCAACTGGTATGGTAACAGTATTTTCATTTGAATTTTTATCAGTTTCTTCAGATGGTACATGTGTTACATTTTCACTTGTATGTAATTGTTCAACAAAATCATCATCAAATGAAGACAAATTTTGAGTTGTAGTTGTAGCAGCTGCGACATTTCCTGGACGATGAGGATGTCGAGAATGAGTCATTTAATAAAATATAAATAATATGAATATGAAAAAAAATCACTAAAAAGAAAAAAAAATAGTCACTTGTATTCATGTAATATATTTTTATAAAAGCACACGTAAAATCATCAAGCTGGTACTTTCAATTTATTGAAAACCGCTTATTCGACATTTATTTTTCTTTCTATAACAGATTATAAGGTTTACAACATATCATTTACATATTCGCATACGAATTACGCAACACTATATATCAAACATGTCAACGTTTTTTTCAATATATATTCTTATTCAAATGAGATATATACAATGCTCATTGATAATTGCTCACTGGGTAGTGTTTAGACCAATGGAAAATTTTGAAGAGTTAATTATCATTTAATATTTGATTTACGATTTCTGAGTGTAAAATCGTGTTCAAAGTTGTTATATTTTTCTCAATAAAATAATTCTCATGGATACTTTATTTAAACGAAAAATATCTTTACATATTCTTGAATTAGGTCAATATTTTTTCAAAAGAATTGTATGGTATTTATATAGAATTTCCTAACGGATTTACAAACAGATTTTAACGCGATTACATTACACTACAATGTAAAACAAATTAATAAATAAGCAAATACGTTATTATTCTCTCGTCAAAATATTTTTCTCCTATGAAATAAAAAAAACATAATTTGAAAATAAACTTCATAGCATACTCAAATTTCATAGCCACTTTTTAAACTTTTTTAATTAAAAATTTTAACCCCATCGGCAGCAACGTGTAAAACTATGTTAAAATGAATCAAATTTTTAAAGAATTATCATATAATAGAAAGCTAGCTTAAGTAAACAAAATTCTATATTTATCTACTCTGTAAAACAAGATGATAGATTAACCTTTTTCAGGTCAATTCATTTTTTTTTCATTCTTGCCTAAACTATAGATATATCTAGATGTTATTTGATGACTTTTTTAAGCAGATTTGATGAATTTTAAGTTAGTTTTAGAGAAATTTAATCAGCCCTAGATAACAGAAGACAATTTCGTATGAATTACAAAACAACTCCAATTATTTCATAATAACTCCATACCAATTTGAGTAAATCGTAGATAAAACCCAACCAATTCCATGCTAGCTATTATCAGTTTCAGTGAATTTCAACAAAGCCCAGTCAAGTGAAACCCATTTCTATTGAATTCACATTAGTTATAGTCTGTCTCTAGTATTGCCAGATCAATTCTAATCAATTTGAGTCAATTAGAACCAATTTTATATGAGTTTCAAATGAAACCTTGCCAACTACAGCAAAATAGCAGGCAACTTCACATAATTTCTAGGTGTCTTGAATTGATTTTAGATCGATCCCGACCAAACCCAGACCGATTCCAACCAATTCCGACCGATTCCGATTCCGATTCCGACCGATTCCGATTCCGATTCCAACCGATTCCGACCGATTCCGATTCCGATTCCAACCGATTCCGACCGATTCCGATTCCGATCCCAACCGATTCCGACCAATTCCAGGATCGGAATCGACTCGGATCGGAATTGTTGCATCCCTACATCTGTCTCACGAAATACATGGACAAGAAAGGCAACAACTTTGTCCTGGTTCACCAGGGTTTTGTCTGTTGCCTTTAATTCACCGAATCAACTAATACGTAATGTACAGGGTGCGTAAAACTATTTTTCCGTGGGAGTAATGCTTTGATTTGAAATAGCATGCATAATAAACTTTACACCAAATTAAAGTGCGTCGAAATGGGATTTATCAATGCTAACTAGTAAAGGTTATGACAACTTTCAAGTGTTGAATTCAGAAAATTCCTAGAATTTTACACCACATTGGCATGGAAAAATTACTTTCATGAGATAGTTTAAACTAGATCTCATTTAAAAT